ACTATCTAACGACTTAACGTTAGTCGTAACGACTACCTTACTTGTAGTAATACTACGACAGAATAACACAATATTAGTTCTGTACTCTAGAGAGAGTATTAGTAATACTCTCTCTCTCTCTCTCTCTCTCTCTCTCTCTCTCTCTCTCTCTCTCAACTACCAGTCTTATCCCCATTCCTCCAGGCAAGTCTAGCACATGCCTTCTCTTTAACCGATTCACTGAGTTATTAATCAATGGCGAGAACCACAAAGACATCCTCTCATTTTTTAAAAGGAAAAGTTTATATCAGGGTGAGGCCCTAAAATATCAAATTAAGGCGAATACAAAAAATTTATTAGAAACGGTTTGTTTCAATGCTTAAAAATCTTCAAATCTATTATCTTGACCTCAAGATATATGGACATGAGAAAAAAATGGATTTTTTATCTTAGAAATAGGGCACCATATAATGTATTTTTTGGACCGTCAAATTTCAAGATTTTCAAGTGTTTATAGATTTGCTTGATCTACATTATTTCTGAAGCTTTAAGTTTTATAAATAGATAAACAAATAAATTTTTAGGCCATCATTTTTTTAAAGGTAAAGTTTATATAAGGGTGAGGCTCTAAACAATCCAATTAAGGTGAATCTAAAAAATTCACTAGAAACGGTTGTTTCGATACTCAAAAATCCTCAAATCGATCATTCAACCTCAAGATATATGGACATGAGAAAAAACGGATCTTTTGTCTTGGAAATAGTTCATCGTGCAATGTATTTTCTGGATCATCAATTTTCAAGATTTTCAAATGTTCATAGATTTGTTTGATCTATCTAATTTTTAAAGCTTTAAATTATATAATTGGATAAATAAATAAATTTTCAGGCCATCACAAAGATTTCTAGTATTGAAATAACGTCTTTTGATACTATTTCAAGATACGCCTTACTTTAATTGTTTAGAACCTCAACCTTATACAAACCAAACCATTTTTTTAAATGGCAATAAATTTGTCCAATAAAAAAAACCAGTAGTTGAAATAAAAATGAAAATATATTTTTTGTTTTAATTAAAATAAAAAATAAAATAAAAGTCATCTTTCACGCAAAAGCAACGAAAAATATACTACAACACGAAACTACATTATAAGGAGAGAAAAAACGAAAATTTTCGTACTCTTTGGAAAAACAAATAATCCAGAGGCTCTTGTTGAATCGAGCAAAATTTACGTCCCTTCATGCATGATGATGAAACACATAGACATCCTAATAATTTAAGGGAGACCGCACTATAATGTTTCTTCTAAGGAAAAAGTTTATATGAGGTTGAGGTCCTAAACAATCAAATTAAAGCACATTTCAAAAATTTTCTAGAAAAAGTTGTTTCGATGCTAAAAAATCTTCAAATCCGATCATCTCGACTTTGAGACTTAAAAAAAAAATGAACTTCAAGTATTGGAAATAGTACATCATGTAAGACCATCAATTTTCAAGATTTACAAGTGCTTATAGATCCGCTTGATCTACAATATGTTTAAAGCTTTATAATTAGAGATTAAAATAAGTTTTCTAGCCATCACAAATATTTTCGATACTAAAACGACATCTTTCAATATTATTTGAAGATGTGCCTTATTTTTAATGGTAATTAAAAAATGTCTCCATATTTTATATGCATGTTTATGTCCCTTTTCCTTTCTACTTTTTAATCTCAAAATGCCCTTGGCTAGATTAGTTTCACACCGCTTGTTATAATGTATGAGAGCTTTCCGAAACTAACACTCATGAAGCGCTGGAATCCAAGTGGCATGAAACTAATAGTTCCCAACTGCTCATTGTAAAGAATCAAAATTGTCATAAACTATTAGTTTCATTTTTCATTTTCGAATGCTCAATGTAAGGAATCAAAGGTATCTGAAACTAATAGCTCAAAACTACATAAAATATTAAAGTGGTCTTGAACTAAGCAATAGTTTCGGATCACTTTGATTCCTTACAAAAGTTGAAAGATAGATCAAAGCTGTTTGGAACTATTAGTTCTGAAATGCTCACAGAATTCCTGTGAATGATATAGAACCAATAGTTTTGAAGGGAGGACATTTTGAAATATATAGGAAAACACTAAAGGATATGAGTGTAAATGTAAATTATGGGGGATATTTTTATAGGGTGGTACTATGGGACATCAATCTTTTTTTTTTTTTGGTACAAATACTATAAACCTTTTATTGAGAAAAGAAGGTCACCCAACTGGGATTACATCATTAGAAATGGTAAGAGAAGGTAAGGATACACCAAACTTAGCCATAGAGTTGGCCTCCCTAAACAATGTGGAAAAAAGAAACAATCATATCTTCAACCAAATCAAGCACTTGCAGGCACACCGAACTCAATTTCCAAGGTATTATTTGCTCTCTTTTGCACCATCTAATTAATTATAACGAATATTAGACATAAGTTTTCCTAAAATTTATATATACAATATATGTATAGGAATTTATTAAAGTACCTAGGTGAAATCTTCAATAGTTTACTTGTATTTTTTATTTAATTTTAAGATACCTATAAAAATATACATTGCCATAAGTTGAAATAGTTACAAATAGGTAAAATATTTGAATAGTTCATAGATATTTGTAAGTTTTTTTAGTCGACTTTGGTCACATGGGACTCTAAAAAAAATTGCATCTCAATTTTTTATTTTTTTTTATTTTTTTTATTTTACAGTCAAGACCATATACAAGATGCTCCTATGGGAGCATTATTGTGCATCTAGTCCCTCAGTCAAAACATCAACTTATAGAGTTTTTCACCTAAATATCATTAGATGGTTATTTTCAATCGAAAAAGAAATGAAATTACGAGTTCTCAAACACTTAGATCACGCCCTTAAAAAATTGCACGGTTATTCAATATCGAGATATTATTCTTTTTCACTACCTAAGGAGCTTAATTCAAATTCTTTTTTACTGAGTTTGGTCTATGAGTTGAGGAAGTTGCATCCCTTAAATTTGGCGTCCTAAAATCACTCTTACAGTGTATTTTATTCGAGGACGTAAATAGATTTCATGCGAAGGAGTAAATAGATAGTACACCCATGAGGGAGTACAGAATCTTTTTGTTTGAGGAGAGGTTAAAAAATGAAGTATAAGTTTGTATTTGACTGGGGTATTTTCGTCAGTTTTCTCATCGAAACTCTAGCTCCAGGCTTTTGTATCAAGAGCCCGAAAAAGAGGCGCGTATTTTTTGTTGCTATTACTGTCACATGGTTTTCTCCTCTGGACCAGGCTTTTCTCTGACAAGCAAGAAACCCTAGAAATCGTTAAACGTCGGGCAACTTCCTGCGACCGTACAATGGCGTCACGAAGAAGGACACTTTTGAAGGTCATAATTCTCGGCGATAGCGGGTGGGTCTCCTGCCTCGAGAAAACCGATCGACGTTTAAGTCTCTGTAGGGTTTGGATCCGGATCGAAACCCTAATTATCGCGCCTGAATTTCATGGATTCTCATGAAATTTGGACTTTAACCGGATTTTTTTTGTTATTGTTGTTTATTCAATATTTGATTATTGTTTGTCATGGTTCTTCTGTTTTTCTTTAATTTGATTGTTCAAGATCGAGGGTTTTCTTTGTTCTTTTTCTCTGAATTCTATAAATTGTGTGATAATTATGGTTTTTTTTTTTTTGCTTTTTTGTTTTTGTGATTTTTCAGGGTTGGGAAGACCTCTCTGATGAACCAGTATCCTATATTTCAGATTTGAGTTGAAACCTTAAATGGCATTTCTTTTGGTGAATCAAATTTTTTTATTCATTTTTGTTTCAAAATTAGGAAAATGTTTTTCCTTGATTTATCATTGTTCAGATATGTGAATCGAAAATTCAGTAATCAGTACAAAGCAACGATTGGAGCCGATTTCTTGACCAAAGAAGTTCAATTTGAAGATCGATTATTCACCCTGCAGGTATCGGAATTATATGTTTGACTGTATTCTTCTCTCTCTCTCTCTCTCTCTCTCTCTCTCTCTCTTAATGTTAACTTGGGGCGTGTGGGATAGGAACTCCTGAACATCTTGTTGTAGCTCAGCCTACCCTGATCACTGTGCCAAGAGTCTGTTCTTGTGTCTTTCTTACGTTATCAAATCAAATTTGCTAGAATTTGTACTTGAAGCTTTCTGACATCTTTGCATATTTTATTCCTCTGCAAGTTTCAATCTTGTTCTATACTTGAAATTTATGTCTTTTCTTTATTTAGTGATATACAAAAGAAATGTTTCTTAAAGTAATTTTGAATTAACAAATTAGAATTTGGAAGCAATTTGAGATGTTCGTCTTAGTGATCACTTGTATACTTGTTTTCCTTTTTTGAATCACCTAGTAGTCAACGTCCTTAGGAGTCTAGTCCATTCGCTCTTGATGGAGTACCTACCATAGCTGGCCCTCTTAGTTGCTGAAGCACACCGCCACTTCCCCAATAGGTCTATATTACAATCCCTTGGGTTCCAAATACCCCATCCCCCATTTCTCTAGGTCTTGCAAACCATCTCCCACCTGATCAAATAGAATTTATGTCAATCCCTAGCTATCGACCACATAAAACTTCTCATCACTCTCTTGAGGCAGTTAACTATTAAAGCGGTTATTGAAATAGAGACATTTGATAAACACGGACAGTTGTAAGGGTTCCTTTGATTAGTGCGATCTTACCTCCCAGCGATAAGAATTGGTCTTCATAGTGGCAGGATGTCGCTTGAAGCATTCGATCACTATGTCCCATTGTGCCTCACGAAACTTACTGGTACATAATTCAGTACGCTAGCTTCATAGCCAAATCTTACAAGCTTTGAGGCTCAACGCAAACCCCCTAACAATGTAGTCCTCTATTGAGCCCTCTGTTGAAAATACCTTTGTGGAAGAATTCAAAGAAAGTGACATGGATATCTCGGGCAAGGGTGTCCTAGAATTTGTGGAATGGTGGGATGGGAACACCATCTAGGCGCTTTATACTACCCCAGATCAGCCATATCCCTTTGGATTTCTTCTTCAACAAAGAGCCTCTCTAATCTCTCTGCCTACCTCCTAGGGAGGGAGAGGAAGGGTATATTATCGATCCCGTGTCTGGGCCCACTTTTGAAAAAGGAACAATTTGAAAAATGAGACAACTGCCCTTTTGATGCCCAAGGGGTTTTGATGCCTCCTTGATTTGTGGAGTTGTTTCTCCTTCAACAATTGGCAAACTTCTGAAAGAAAGTCATACTTTCAATCCCTTCTCTGAGCTAGGAGACCCTACGTCTATGGTGCCAATAGATTTCTTCTTACTTAAGAAGGTTCCCATTTTCTATCTTGTACTCCACTTTCTTACTCCTTTTTACTAATTTTACTTTGTGGATATCAAAATCATTGATATCTCGCAGCAGAGGTTCTTTCCTGGCCTACAAGTTCTTAGGGAGCTATTTGCACCATAGTTTCAAATGATTTATGAGCATTTTGAGCTTGATACTTAATCTAAAACCCGCCCAATCTTTCATGTGAAAAGAAGATTATCGGAGAGAAATTAGTTGATGTAGCTCTTAGTGTTTGAGCGACCTTCTTTTATATCAAAATGTTTTTGAAGTCTCTCCCACTAAAGACACCTAGAGAATGGGGTGATGATGACAATCCTATCAAGCTCTTGCCAAAACGAATCCCTAAGTTTCGGACTACTTAGGACATATACTGTTGAGAACTTCCAGTTATGGTTATGGAAAGACTGGAAAACTACACTGAAACTAAGAAGATACCTCTAAGGGGCGAGGGAAATGCAAGATTAGATGGGTCCCTGATAGCGTAAACGCGCCCTTGAGGAGGTCCTCTTATTGACATGTTTTCCTACCCCAAACTCGGTGAACCTAGGACAGGATGGGAGAGTTAGTCTTGTATCATTCAGAACTAAAAGTACCAGAAGACTTTGTTTTCTCGGGTGAATATCAGAAGGACCTTGAGCGAGAAGGCATGGACCATGCTTTTCTTTGTGTTATATCATAGGTCCTTGATATTCCATATCTGGGTCTTCATTTTGCACAAAGCAGCGAATGCGCCAAACAATGTTCTAAAAAATGCCAAGCGGTGCCTAGGTAGCCATGGGGGTCCTTACCGCTCAGCGCCTAAGCAGTGAGGCGGTGCCCAAAGTTCTGGGCGGCCTGGGACCTAGATTAAAGATTAGGGACAGGGGACAAGGCAATATGAGAATACATGATAAAATATTAAAAATTCTATAATCTTAAGTTCCAAACCATTGTAAAGTTCTAATAGATAGACTACTAGCACAACAAAAAATAAAATATAATAGTAAATAGTAATATAGGCACAATCCATACTCCATAGACCATACTCCATGCTCCATAGATCATACCATTCCATTCCATAGTTCCATACAATGATACAACCATACAGGCATACACATAAGAATAGATCAGTACAAACTAGAAAATAAGGAAAAAGAAAATATACAGTCTAAGATTCAAGAGTTAAGAGTCTTCAGTCATCATGAAAAAAAGTGGGGTAAGCCTCATCATATGCATCCGAGTCGAGTCCATAATCATCAGAGTTATCTCCCTTTTCAACATAACACTTGTCCTTCTCCATTTCTTTTGAATTTGCGTCTTCCTCCTCTTCTTCTGCCCCCTTTTACTCTGTGTAGATGATCTAGAGGCCCTAGGAGTCTTCACTACTCTACCTGGTGCCTCTGCACCCTTTTTTTTTTTTTGTTTTTTGTGCTTTTCAAATATTGCTTAATCTCCTCCTTGATAGCTTTAGGAGAATTTTTGTAAAAAGCAACATCCCTTTTAATACCGGCAAGGTGTTTTTTGAACCTGTAAATACCCCCATTAGTATCATTTCCACAATAATTGCACTTTGTATAAATTTTGTCATTTGGATTCGGGTTATGACCATACTTTCAACCCAGATCACCACATTTAGAAGAACCTAAAGAAGATATTTCTATATAACAAGGCCTTTTTTCTTTCTTTTCTGGTTTTATCAAATTTAAATATTGTATAATCTCATCCCTAATAGCTTCAAGAATATTTTTACAATAAGCTACATTCCTTTTAATACCGGCAAGATGTTTCTTCAGTCGGTAAATACCCAATTGGTATCTTTTTCACAAAAATTACACCTTATATAGTTTTTGTCATTTGGATTCGGGTTATAACCATACTTCTAACACGGATCACTACTTTTAGAAGAGCCAGAAGAAAACTTATCCAAATGTCAGGGTTCCTTTTGTTCCTTTTTTGTTTTTTATCGAATTCATGTATTCTTAATCTCCTCCTTGATAGCTTCAGGAAATTTTTTACAACAGGCGATATTTCCCCCTAATACCAGCAAGGTGTTTTTTGAACCAGTTTATACTCTTATCGTTTTCGCAATAATTACTTTTAATACAATTTTTGTCATTTGGATTTGAGTTATAACTATATTTTTAACCCAAATCACCATTTCTAAAAGAACCCGAAGAAGATATTGAAATAACAAATAAAATCTCAAATACGAAGATTTTTAACTAACCTTTTCGCTCAATCTTCAATGTTTGAGATGTTTCCCAATCTCAAATACTTCCCAAAAACCCTCTAATAAGCTTCAAAAATTGTCATAGTCAAATCCAAGCCAAAAGGACAATGGTTGGATTGATTTTTCAAAACTCTAAAGTACCCAATCCCTTAGAAATGCAAAAAAGTGATCATTCCCAAAAACATTTTCCACTATAAAAGGTAAACAAAGGGGTTAGTTCACACAACAACCTAAACCCCCGTTTCCCCTTTATTTTGGGGTAAAAAAATGAAAATGCCCTTCCACGAGGGGCATTTTCGCCCCTAGGCGGGTGCAGTGGCTGGGTGCTGGGCTCTGGGCAGGCGCCTAAGGACCCCCGCCTATGCCTGGGCGATGTCGCTAGTCCTCCCTAGCCTGCCTAGTCAGCCGTGTGGAAGTGGGGAGGCAAGAAATTTATTTATTTTTTATTTTTTTTTTGGGGGTGGGCGGGGGAGGGGGTGTTAAGGGAAGAGGGGTATGGGGAAGCAGAGGGCAGAGGGGCCAATGAGACAAGACAATATAGAGAAATGGTTTGAGGGAGAGTGATAGAAAGGAGAGAGAGAATGAAGAGAAGAGGGGAGGGAGTAGAAGAAATGGGGGGAAGAGTGAGAGAGAGATTTCACTTTTTAATCCTAGGCCAAGATTGTGGACATCTTGACCATCCAATTGGACAGGCAAGTTAGCACTGATAGCACTGATCAAGCTATTTGTCATACTATATGACGGGCCTTCAGAAGGAGAAGAACGTGGTAGTCAACCGGCAGAGGAGGAATACTTGAAAGTGGTTAATGTCATCCAATGTATTTTGTTGGATCATTCGATTGTTTGAACATGTTCAGCATTAAGAGTGTCGGCGTAGGGTTGGACCACATGCCAGCACCTAGGTGTTCAATGAAGGGATGAGATATTTCTGTTGATGAGCCACCTGTGAGATTTTGGGGGATGGACAAGTTGGCACATGAAGATGGATGACATTGGATGATCTCCATTGTTGGATATGCCACTTCTGGGTGATATGGAAATGCTCCCCTCAAAAAAAAAAAGCATAAAAGCATTTGCTCCTCTCTCTCATTCCAGGAACCCAGATTATCAATCATGTTCTCTACATTAGTCCCCCTATTTTGCTTTCTCTACTTTACTCTTCACTCTCACCTTGTCTCTGCCCATTTAGGGGAGCAGGACAGCCACACATACACACACACTCTCTATCTCTCTCTGATAGGATTTGTTGTACATGATCGAAATGGAGAAAATGGGGCCAAAATAGCATGCTTCTTGACTGATAGGAAATGTTATTTGTAAGGATGGTCCATAAATGTTCAGCAATCTCAACCCCACCGATCATATCAATTTGGAGAAAATTTACACGAGGGGAGATATAATGTTTGTGTTTACGGAGTTCCTCTCTACAAGTATCTCTCTATCTTTATGTGTACATTTAGACTTCACTGTATATGTTCTATCTCACTCAAGATCAATCTTTATCTTCCATTTCCTGGGGATATTATGTTGTCTTCCGATATAGTATTTTTTATCTTCTATATCATCTCCCTTAGTGCCCTTTGAATGTTTGGTGATTTCTTTGCTTGTTAGTTTCTTTCTTGCCATATGATCCAAATCAGAGTAGGGAGAGAAGGTCGCCAGAGCTTGTCTAGGGGTGACCTGATGACAGGGGACTCCGATAGCACCAGCAAATCATACAGTGGACTTTGTATGATTGAATTTATTAAGACTATGGTGTTAAATCTCCACACACTTAAGATGGCTATGAGCTACTTTTCATGTTAATTGTCTAAGATATTTGATGGAATGATTTTGAGCCTTAAAGTTAAAGCAATTCCCCATAATATGATATTTGGTAGTTGCTTTGGGTTGAACCGTCTCTTAATAAAAGTTTCAGTATTCCCTTCATTTATTATGTTTTTCCCCATGTTATGGAAGGTTTTATGTGCTCAACAGGAAAGTGACACCAGTCATTTGGCAATGAAATAATAATTTGTGGAGGATAATTATTGAGACTTATAAAATGGGTGACATATAAGATGATCAATGGTCTCCTTTGGGATATGGAGTCCCTTGTGCTGAAGACGATTCCCATGTTTGCCGTTTGTTGGACATGACCTTCTAGCCTAAAGCAAGCACCTTAGCTTAGAAGTTAGAAACATCACAAAATTGACGTCTTGAAGAAATCCGGCACTCATTCTTCATAACTACCCACTTCCAAATTCTCCTATTAGACCCTATAGTTGGGATGAAAGCGTCTTCAAACGTAGTTGACAACTTGCTCAGCTAACTGATCTCCTCATCCCTTGGATCTCTTCTAGAGCAAAGTTTCCTTTGCTCATCAGTTTCTTTCTGCTTGAACTGGGGCTATATAACCTTGTTGTGAGCTTGGCGAGTATATCCTTAACAAGGTCTAGGCGTCTAGCAGGGACAAAGCTGAGTTTGTCCAATTTCGACCAAAGCTTGACAATATTTGTGTAGGTAAAAATTTTGAACTTCAATTTAAAACTAGTCAATATCGCTTCGAACTTCAAAACTTGCTTGGTCAAAATAGTAAAATACTGGGTGTGAACTTTTGTTGTTAACATATTGAATGAGGCGAATGCCTCACACTTGAAATCTTCCAAATGAACCTGAAAAGGGGTGTTGAACTGTTATAAAGGTTTGAACTGCTCTGCACGTGTTTATGATATTCATATGTATCATATAATGGATGTATATATAGTTTTTGACACTTGACACCCCATTTTAGAGTTGTCTTCTACTCTTAAGTACCTCATCAAAATCTTCCCTGTTAAAGTTGGATGCATCCCAGTTCTCTTTTCTGCCATCATCCATTACAACTGGTATAAAGTTATGAACTGCTCTGCACTTGTTTATATATTCATATGTTTCAGATACTGAATATATACATAGTTTTTGACACCTGACACCCCATTTTAGAGTTGTCTTCCATTCTTCGTGCCTTATCAGGATCTTCCCCGTTGAAGTTGTGTGTGTCCCCATTGCCTCTTCTTTGCCATCGTCCATTACACCATGGAATATCACAAGCTTATCATATACCGCTCACTCCCTTATCTCTTTATTATCCCCAGAGCCCTTTTTGTACTGGAACAGCCTCCCAAACACCACTCTCCCTGCTCAACTCCTCGTCCCCCACCCCCCGTTTTCCCCTCCCTTCGCTCCCTCCTTCCGCTGCCTTATCCTATTGCTAAAAGAAAACACCCACATTAAATGGACTGTATAATGTGGCCAGCCTTCTGCTCTGTATTTTGTTATCCTTAATTCTCCACACTGCCTATTTCTTCTTATAATCAAATTGCACCAGAAATCCTTTTTGAGTTGTGCTATGATATGTTTGTTTTCCTTCCTTTCAAGAGTGTCTGCTTTTGCTGGCTGTTTGAGGGACAAGATTCACACTGGGATCCCGAGATATCATTGTCGCATCCAATTTCTAAGTTTCTGTGTTTTGTCCATATCTAAGGGAAGAATTCTGCATTTTCTGGTGCATGTGATTTCTTGAGAAAAGGTTTAGGCTTAATTTTTGGGGCTTGGGGGATTATTGTGGTAATCCCTAGGAGAGCTGTGAACATGCTAAGGGGCATTTGGGTATTTATCAAAATGAAGTTTAAAAGGGTTAAGAGTTGCCCATAAAAATATAAGTGGGTTAGAGCCAACAACCTAATGTGGAATCGGAAGGAAATGTAGTGGAATGAAGAGACGAAAAATCAGTAGAAGTAGAGATGAATTAGTTAGGTCTTGTTGCATGCTGAAATCGAACTCTGATTTTATCTCAAAGGTTTCCCCTATCCTGGGCAGGTTGGGATCTGGTCTGGGAGGAGGCAGGATTCTATTCTGTAGTGTGCTGCATTTTACAGAAGCCTAAGTTTGCTATCAAGGGGTCTTATGGCCAACTGAAACTTGTTTAATGTGGAAAGCTGGTCCGGTCATATTCCTCTATCCCCTTGGAAGCTTGGATGCATAATACAGGAGATATTTGATGTTTTGGAAGCGTAAGATGTTACTTCAATAAATTGTACTTCTAATATTAGACCACCTTAATGGTACTTGTGGGGTAAATTATTAGGATTGATTACTTGTCTTCATATGTTCTCATAAGTCTTAAACTTATGTTATATGGAATAGAGGAACATGATTCGTGTAGCCGACCCCAAATAATTGGGATAAGGTTTGGATGATGATGATGAAGATGATTACCTGTCTTCCTATCCTATCCCGATCTTTATATGTAGGTCTTAAGATGGGCTAGTGACTATTCTTGCTCGTAAGTGAAATGTCACTTCTTAGGGTTAAAAAAAGAAACAAGGCATTGTATCTTGTATGTATTGTTCAGTTGTGTTTAATGTTTTATTTGACTGGTCTTTGTTATTATCCTGTGGCATCTTTGCAAGTTCCTTGGTACCCCCTAATGCTTCTTATCAAAATTTGCGTTATGAAATACATTCTTGAAATAAAACTAGCACGGCATACAGGTAGTTAAAAGGGTGTTACTTTGAAGCCCTCAAATTTATGACAAACTAATATGTTCGGCAGATATGGGATACGGCCGGCCAAGAACGTTTTCAGAGCCTTGGTGTGGCTTTTTATCGTGGAGCAGATTGCTGTGTTCTGGTGTATGATGTCAACGTAATGAAGTCATTTGACAACCTGAACAACTGGCGAGAAGAATTTCTAATCCAGGTGATATGTCTACCATAGTTTTATATTGCTGACATCTGACTTTGGCTCTAACTTACAGTGAGAATTCTTCCACAGGCAAGCCCCTCGGACCCTGAAAATTTTCCCTTTGTTGTTCTTGGGAACAAGATTGATGTGGATGGTGGAAATAGTAGGGTGGTATGGTCCCTCTCTGTCTCTCTCTCTCTCTCTCTCTCTCTCTCGTCTCTCTCTGTCTCTCCCCCCCCTCTTTCGTGATCCCAAGGGCTTTTTCCTCAGGTCTCAGAGAAGAAGGCTCGGGCATGGTGTGCCTCAAAAGGAAACATTCCTTACTTTGAAACCTCTGCCAAGGAGGGATTTAATGTAGAAGCAGCTTTTGAGTGTATAGCAAAGAATGCTTTGAAGAATGAGCCAGAAGAAGAAATGTAAGTAGAATTTCAGCTCCTTTTATCTCATTATACATGCTGTCTGCTCATAGACCACAACTTTAGCCACCAAGGGAGAGAGCAATTCAGGTGTCGTATCGATTTTATTTCAGTGAACTGTGAAATTGCTCTATTTTGAAATCATTAGGGGAATACCTCGAAATTTATGAACATTGAGATCACAAATAGAAGATAGCTACCACCTTCCTCCCCAAATTTGTTTGCCAGCCAAAATATACAGTCATTGGTTTTTGTATAGAAGTTAATCAAATAGCTTTTGATGGTTAAAATTATTAATAGCATTTGGTGAGGGGGCCGTCTCATGTGCCTCCCTCCCCCCCAAAAAATAAAATTCCAAAGGGATATAGGACCTAAAATGCAACCCCAATCATTATAAATTCATTTCTGAATTAGATCCATGAATTTAGAGCTACAAAAACAGCACAGATCTGATGATCTTTGAAGAAATAAAATGAACGGTCCAAAAAAAGTATAACATAGACTGTTTTTAAAATGCAAAATTCATTTTTTCTATTTTATTATTTTGGTGGTCTAGATGATAGACCTGTTGAATTTAGATCCAAAAGGTTTTGGGAGTGTGGACTCATGGAAATGGTGTGTCCTCTAATGCACCGAATTGCTACCCATCATTAATTTACCTGTTTGGTTGCATCTCTCTTCTGACATGCATATGCGTGCGCACTCGCATAAAGCAAATAAATTGATCTTTTTTTTCACTTCTTAATATGTTAACCTCTGCTCTCTTGTTAGTAAAAATTGTCTTCTCATCATTGCGAAATACTATGATGACAATAGATACTTGCCGGACACCATTGATGTTGCGGGAGGGAGACAACCGAGATCATCTGGATGCGAGTGTTAAAAGACCTGTTTTAGATTGTCTTCCCATTCATTCATTTGGAGCAATAACATCTATAATATGATATATGCGGGTCTAGATGGTTTACTTGAAGATGCTGTGCTGTTTAGTGTTCTATTGGGTCCTACTGCACTCAATCATTTCCTACTGTAATCTATCACTGTACATTATTCCCAGGTATCAAGGAGTCTTAGTGCTGGGATCTGTGATCTTTGGTTTAGTGTGAGTCCATGGATTGATTGTTTCTCGAAGAGTTATTGGCTCAGAGAGGGGATAATGGCCACTTCTCTAGTAAGGAATGGCTTTCTAAACGTATGGTTCATGGCTTTCTTCTTTTCGGGAAAAGTTATATGAGTCTCTAGGCTTCTATATTGAGCTGGAAATGTTTGTGGGTGTTCATGGGATCTCAAATTTTTTGCACATGCTTAGTGCGTTCTATTAGTCGGGTAAAAATTTTGAATTTGCACAAAAGAAATAATTGGAAGTCTGTCCACCCCTTTTGGTTATGGAAAAAGTTCGTATAAGGATGCAATTTTAAAATGTAGAATTAAGGTGTACTTCAAAAATTCATCATAAAAGATTGTTTTGATGTTAGAAAATTTTCTAAGTGATTTTGACATCGAGATATACGAATGTAAAAACAAAAAAAGGGATTTTGAGTCTTAAAAATAGTGTCCTGCAACACATTATTTGGACGGTAAATTTTCAAAATTTTCAAGTATTTATAGATCTATTTGATTTGAACTGTTTTTAGTGTTCAAAATTTTATAATTATAAAATTTAAAGCTTGATAAGTGATGTAAATAAAATGGATCTATAAACACTAACAAATATTGAAAATACATAGTCAAGATATTATATTGCAAGATCCTTTATGTTTAGAACTTGAAATCCCCCTTATCATATTCATATTTATCATTTTCATATTTCTTGAGGTTGAGAGCTTCAATATATTCATATTTCTCGAGGCTGAGTTGATTGAATATTTTCAAGAATCTTTTCTAGTGAGTTTTTAAAGTACACTTCTACAGTCACTTTATATAAACCTCCCAGGACATATTGTGTATTACATGAAAAAAATGATATTTGCTAGGTTAATACTGAAGAAAAATATTGATTCCTCTGTTCAATGTCTGGAGTATTTATTTGACTTCAATTTTTGCATATATTTATTTGTTGACCCTAGCCAACACTGCATGAAAATGTTGAAAAAAAATTAAAAGAAATAAGGATCGAGAAATTGAGACACTCCAAGCACCTACAAGTACATAAAAATATATCTCCAAAAATTTGAGGTTAGCTACAGTCGTAAACAAAGGGATTTCTTTGAGACGTAGTCTATATAAAATCCTTAATTCAAAAAATAAATAATTAAAAATTCGATTTTAATTTGTTGAAGGCCTAAATTGACGGTCCAGCAAATAGATATGCACGTGCGCGAATGTACGTAACAGTCTGAAATATTGGCAGTTATCAATGACGTGCAAATTTATATGAGCACTTTATCATAAAAAATAAGGAACTTAAAGGGGTGGCAACGGGTCGGGTCTGGTCCCTCCAGACCCAGACGTGGACCCAGACCCGATTGGACCCAAACCAAAAATTAGAAAAAATATATTTGTGTATATTTAAATGTCATATTAAATATATACATACATTATTTAAATATTATAAGTAAAAATATATAATTATATTTATTTAAATATTAATTAATTAGACAAAAGTTTCTATTTCAACCATCCAATTTTGATCAAGAGAAGCACTCATCGTTTAATCTTAAATCCAACATCTAAAAGTATTTTATTTTTAATTTTTTTTATACAAATTGTATGAATATGAAATTTAATACGAATCATCTTCTCATTGGGATACATCTATAAAAAATATTTAAAATAATTTTTCAATAAAATATAATGACCAAAACACCACTTGAAACTTTCAAGGGTATTTTAATCATTTTACTTTATTGAAAATATTTTTTTTATATTTTTCGCCAGTGCGAATGGACATCCAAACTTTGGTATCAAAATAATTCATAAAAAAAATAAAAAATAAAATAATGTAGAAACATGACATTATGATTGGAACAATTTTAACCCTCCATTCAAAATGGAAGGTTAGATAAGGGGAAGTAAATAAATTTTATACTGTAGAAGAAGCATATAAAGCATGCCCAATTAATTAATTATTAAAACATTATATATTAAATATTATTTATATAATAACACTACTCAAGTAGGGTCGAGTCGAGTCGGGTTAGGTCCAAATGGACCCGGATCTGAAGAGTGTTCACGTCCAATATTTGGACCAAGACCCAACCCACCGAGACCAATTCTTGGACACATACCCGGTCCCAAATCGGGTCCAAAGAAAGGGTCCCGGGTTGGATCTGTGCTCATTGCCACCCCTATCATACTTTATGTGGTCTCTTCCTAATATTAAACCAAAAAACGCCATAGTTGGTAGGTATTTCTAAACCATTAATATTACTTAGGGTTAAGGAAAATCTATTAACTCATTGGGTTTACAGCCATAGTTGGTGGGCATTTCCAAACCATTAGTTTTGTAGTTATTTGTATTTCCTCTCTCCCTGCTCATTCTCGACTTTTTTTTGTTTCTGGTAGTCTCTCTAGCTCACGAGTGATTGAAAACTCGGAATCGGGTGTTGGATTGCACACCCATTGTACCAATCCCGATTGGCGAAATCATTGATTCAGATCAGCCGAAGCTATGGAAATCCAAGAATAATGAACTCAAGGTACTTGGGTGGTGGGAACCGAGATCGCCGACCCATTGAATTGCATCCGGATTGCCAGAGTTAAGGAATGTCTTTAGGCCTCTCATTCAATTCCGTTTATATGTAGGGAAATGACAAGACAGTGCCCAGAACAAGGACATGAGTGCTTCAAAAGACCACCTGGGCATGAGAATTATTCAGAGCCTAAAATCCAAAATTATGACATTTTGCCTTAAGCAGTGTATTTTATCTTGTGCAGAAGGATGTCATTCATCTACCAACAGCCTGGAAACAATATCCAATACCAAATTATGACTACAATTTTATATCTAAGTTGAAGTTTAAGAAATGGGAAAGTATATAATGAGACCGTTTACTTTTGATACAAGGTGAGACATTCATCTTGACCATTGGATGCGAAATTGGGTGGCTGCAATTATTCCATCGACCAAGCTCAAACTTCAAAAAACTTTGTGACACATCCAAGCCATCAAACTTCACATCAGATGACCGTACGTAATTGTGACCACATTGTATCAAAAGTAAATAGTCTCATTATATACAATCCCTTTAAAAATAGGTTAATGAAAGGGTCAACAGCAACGCTGAATACTGGTCTGGGACTAATAGACGGAGGGAGAGAGTGCGTGTGTGAGAGAGTGTGAAATCTAGAGAGAATTATCGCATGCATGTTAAAGAGAGTGAAATCTATAGAGAATTAGTGCGTGAGTGAGAGAGAGAGATGAACAATACTACAAACAAGAACTGAACAAACTAGCCACCCTTCGAATCTTGGAGATTCTAAAAATAGACTCTTGCCTAATTGTAGGTAGATTACAAACATAGTTGGATTCATTCGATATCGACTATCAAAGGATAACCTCAACACCAGTGTTCAATAAATTCAAACTAGTTAAGTTTGAACATCAATAATAACAAATATACCTCAAAACTCCCCAATCTCACTCAGAGGTCATAGCATCATCCACAACACAAACAACTTCCTGAGGTGCAGAGCAACAACTCACTCCCTATAGAGAGCACTTCATTTATTTTCTTCCAAATTTATTACTATGATAATTAAATGGAAACTATTATAATGCAATTAACAGTAATAAACAAACAATCGCAATTATGAAACTTCACCTGTCTGTGATGATCCTTTGGAGAAGTTCAATCTTCCTGGTTGGGTTGGGTCTAAAGGCCTGCTTCATAATTAGAGCTCCTTCTCGAGCATGAAGAAAAGAACAGAGAGATCAAAGATCACAAGATAAAAAGGAAAAAATTCAATGAAATCCAAAGAATGAGATTAACACTTCATATATTTATCAAAACATTGTTGGGTGAGAAGAGCCACAACAAATACCAGTGGACCTCTTTACCAGTTACAGTATTGAAATCCCAAATAGCGTAACAGGTTACAACTTGTGCCCCAATTCAAGCACAAATTAATCAGCCATAACCTCTTCCAGAGCCAATCCTGAATGAAACAAGTTTTAAAGTAATTAAGAATTCAACCAATAACAATCTCAAAGAATGCATATCCAAAAACCAAAAACAATAAAAAAGAATGCATATGTACATATATATATAAAGGAAAATTGTTTCATGCGGTAGGGACCGCATTTCGACATTTGTGGTCCCCAAGGGAGAAAGCATTCACCGTAAAGATGGATGCAAATAGGTAGTCCATCTAAAAATAATTGAAACTAACAGTCCAAATGTTTTCTTAATAGAATTATTATTATTAATTTTAAAAATTTATTTATTTTTTCATATTCATGATCTCCATGTTAGAGATTACATGTCCTTAAAAATTAGGCCTAAAATTCCATCTCAAAATAGATTTTTAATAGGTGACTCATTTCTACATGGACTCATAGAAATTGTGTATATATATATATATATATATATATATATATATAGACGAGAGTAGTACGACCACTACGTACTAACGACGTACTACGTAGTACGTTACGACCCGAACCGGACCGACGTAGTAGTATACGTACGGACCGACCCG